AACACAAACTAGGTCATTTCGGGAATAACATATGTTTAATTTTATTTCAATAATTCGCTTGCGCGTATGGGTCTTTAACAGTGGGAGGAAACCGGAGGACCCGGAGAAAACCCACGAGGTTGAACAGGCAACCCTACTCCTTGTCACGTACATCCGGGGATTCGAAACCACGACAGTTGACTCAAGGACAGACCCTATGATACAGAGCACGCGTGCTAACCATTCGGCCATCAGATTGAAATAATTTTCAAAGTGTAATGGCGATTATTCTGATGTGAAGATTTAATGGTTCACCAAAGGTATATCACTTAATACCATAAACAAATTCCATGAATTGGAAATGCCATGAAATGGGGTCTAACGTCCTACTGTTCTGGTCCGACTGGGGTAATAAAGATGGACATACGCCATGCGGTGTGCTATAGGGGAAATTTTGACGGGATAGCTGCGCTACGGCCTACTCTTATATCGAATTCCAACTGCCAAGGGATCTTTTATAATATAACAAAAAATGCCAGCTCTTTATCTAATTTTTACATAATGTATCTTTAATATAACCATTATAGCAAAAACAACCACCTATTTATCTAAATCTTACATAACGTATCTTTAATATAACTATTATAGCAAAAACGACCAACTCTTTATCTAAATCTTACATAACGTATCTTTAATATAACTATTATAGCAAGAACAGCCAGCTCTTTATCTAAATCTTACATGACTTTGATATAACTATTATAGCAAAAACGACCAACTCTTTATATAAATCTTACATAATGTATCTTTAATATAACTATTATAGCACGAACGGGCGGCTCTTTATATAAATCTTACAAAATGTATCTTTAATATAACTATTATAGCAAAAACGACCAACTCTTTATATAAATCTTACATAATGCATCTTTAATATAACTATTATAGCAAAAACGACCAACTCTTTATCTAAATCTTACATAACGTATCTTTAATATAACTTATATAACAAGAACGACCAACTCTTTATATAAATCTTACATAATGTATCTTTAATATAACTATTATAGCAAAAACGACCAACTCTTTATCTAAATCTTACATAACGTATCTTTTATATAACTATTATAGCCAGAACAACCAACTCTCTATCTAAATCTTACATAATGCATCTTTAATATAACGTATATGGCAATAACGACCAACTCTTTATCTAAATCTAACATAGTGTATCTTTAATATAACTATTATAGCAAGAACAGCCAGCTCTTTATCTAAATCTTACATGACTTTGATATAACTATTATAGCAAAAACGACCAACTCTTTATATAAATCTTACATAATGTATCTTTAATATAACTATTATAGCACGAACGGGCGGCTCTTTATATAAATCTTACAAAATGTATCTTTAATATAACTATTATAGCCAGAACAACCAACTCTCTATCTAAATCTTACATAATGCATCTTTAATATAACTTATATAGCAATAACGACCAGCTCTTTATATAAATCTTTAAGGGAGTATAAACTGTGGATCTCTAAAGGAATATTAGTCTAAAATTGGTTCAGTTCCGATCAGTATTTACACAGACATAAGCAATTGAAAATTTGTCGACCACAACAGATGATTTAAACGGGATATGGTCGGAAAACAAACCAACGTCATTTATAAACGTTTTGGGGGGTTGGATGGCCGAATGGTTTGCACGTCCGTGCTGTATCATAAGGCCTGTCATTGAGTCAACTGGCGTGGTTTCGAATCCCCGCGGTTGTACGTGACAAGGAGTAAGGCCGCCTGTCCAACCTCGTGGGTTTTCGCCGGGTCCTCCGGTTTCCTCCCACTGCTAAAGACCCCCAAGCGCAAGCGAATTATCGAAATAAAATTGAACCATGTGTTAGTCCCGAAATGACCTAGTTTGTGTTGAGTGGACGTTAAACCCCATTTCTCTCTCTCTCTCCCTCCCTCTCTCTCTCTCTCTCTCTCTAAACGTCTCTAAAATCTGGAGACTTTCTGCTGTTGGTAATTTGATTTGATTTTCTTAATTAACTGTTAAATAATCAATACAATGACAATGACGAAAGGAGACATTAATCGAAATCCATGACTAGTTAGTTAACAATTTATAGTGTTATTAAATGCGATAATATTGAATTTAAATACAAGCAATGGATTGTTCCTGTTATTGAATTTAACATAAATATATTCATTACAACCAATGAATTGTCCCTAACTTTAATATATTTCATTACAATCAATGAATTGTCCCTGGTATTGAATATTGACTAAAATATATTTATAACAATAACATAATTGTTCCCGATGTTGAGAGGTAGAGAGAGAAATGGGGTTTAACGTCCACTCAACACAAACTAGGTCATTTCGGGACTAACATATGGTTTAATTTTATTTTAATAATTCGCTTGCGCGTAGGGGTCTTTAGCAGTGGGAGGAAACCGGAGGACCCGGAGAAAACCCACGAGGTTGAACAGGCAACCCTACTCCTTGTCACGTACAACCGGCGATTCGAAACCACGCCAGTTGACTCAATGACATGCCTTAGGACCCTCCTCCTGGTGTTGAATTTAAACTAGATATCCATTATAAATTAATATTGTTCCTGGATCCCGCCGTGTTCACTTCAAGTATATAAATAATTTACAGTTCCGTTTATTTTTGTTGCGTTTTATTACTATGAAATGAAATGGGGTTTAACGTCCTACTGTTCTGCTCCGACTTTTTTACTATGAAATTGTTATTTAATTATTATTAGTAGTAGTATTACGGCTTATTTATAGCGCGCACTTTCACATCTCATGTTCAGGGACACATTATACAAATTGACAATATGATCATAAAGCTAACTTTATGGCCATGTTAAAATGTGTTTAATATACCTAGTCAGTTAAACGCTTGTTTAAATCAATGTGTTTTAAGTTGTCTAATACAGAGATGTACAGTGTCTAGTCTTTCGGGTTGGACGTAAACACGCGTGCACGTAAAAGAACCCTTGATAGTTGGAATGTGATAAAAACTAGGCGGAAAACCACTGCCCGGGTAACATGTCTATCATAGTAATAGCCCGGTTGGTGCCATTATGACCACATTATGGCCGTTTTGACCCAGAAAAGTACGACGTTCAGCCTCATATCATTTTATTTGTTATTTGGAATATAAAGCTAACTGACCAACCTAGTTTTACGCCGTACACTTGTACAATAAAATCAACGTATTTTATTGCACAGTTATTGCTATAGTCATGGTTTCTATACCTACTGTAGTATAAATATATGTATATCTTATAGCATAGTTATAACTCTGGTCATGTTTTTTATACGTATCATAGTGGATATGTGTATATATATCTTATAGCCGTAAGGGGGGGGGTAGTGCGTGCGCGCTGTATCATAAGGTCTGTCATTGAGTCAACTGGCGTGGTTTCGAATCCCCGCGGTTGTACGTGACAAGGAGTAAGGCCGCCTGTCCAACCTCGTGGGTTTTCGCCGGGTCCTCCGGTTTCCTCCCATTGCTAAAGACCCCCAGGCGCAAGCGAATTATCGAAATAAAATTGAACCATGTGTTAGTCCCGAAATGACCTAGTTTGTGTTGAGTGGACGTTAAACCCAATCTCTCTCTCTCTCTCTCTCTCTCTCTCTCTCTCTCTAAACTGGAACATATGTTAGTCCCGAAATGACATAGTTTGTCTCTCTCTCTTTGTCCGGATAGCGTAGTTCCCACAGTCAATTGTTTGTTTTTTTTTTGGTTTTTTAAGTGTGCATTTCAAAGTGTAGACTCGTGAATCTCGATTGCTCGTCCCATTCGAACGACGATAACGCTTTTCTTGCGGGCGCCAAATGCTGACTAATGCGAAACCAGCTTGATAAATCTAAAAGTTTTTTCTCCACCCACGCCGGGATTCGAACATGGTCTATTCCAATCTGAGCCACATCTTTACATAAAATAACAGCAATATCTAGTCAGTGAACAAAAATTCTGTGAAAAAAAACCCCACAGTAGTAGCGGAATCAGTCTTGTGAAAACGCTGCAATGAAATGTGGTATGACTATGATGGTAAGCATAGCCTGCCTCGTGTATCAGATGTCAGTCATTTTCACAGAATTTTACGGTAAAACTGTGTCACTCCTATGTCTAAATTTAGAGACACATTGTTTCATTATATTAAAATGGTTTATTTTAAAACTGTATAAAGTTAAAAATAAATCTTATATCGTCTATAAATAATGCAGACCAGCCTTAACCGAGATCGTTCTAAAAAAATTTCACCAGAACATCGTGTCTAATAGTTATTTTAAAATAAAGTAGCTCACATGGTCTTGATAAAGAAGAATTTAAGAATTTCCAGATACTTTGTTTTAGAATCTCTGTAAGCGAATCGTTAATTCAATTATCGTTAATTTTATTGGTACTTTAGAAATTTTTATGGTAGTTTAGCCTGGCAGTAGGTCATGAAGATTCACAATATGTCAAGCAGAGCATACATGTATATGAGTGAGACATTATCCGATTTTTATATTTTCTTATTTTATTCATTTATTTTTGCTTTAACTTTTTAAAATTTATTTATTATTTTAGAGGGGACATGGGTTGGGGTACAGGTGGATACATCAGAATTGCAATCATGGATGGAGTTATGTGGCTGTCATGTCCGAATGTTCGGTATCTTGACTAATTGGTAGCTGGGGTAATGTTCCACCTAGATCCATACGCCACCGATGTCAAGCGAACAAGGAAAACTTTTTAAGTTTCCCTCAAATAGTTGTAAACACTAATACAATCTTAGGGTTAACCTATGCTTGGTGCTGTGTGTAGAATAACTATTTCCGTGGGCAATGAATCCTTATATTTAATTATTCTAAGACATAAAATAATAAAATACACTTTATAATTCTTTAACTCTTGGTGACTATACAAAAAAAAACAACAAAAAAGGACAAAGACTTGGAATAAAAGTTCAATATGTAAATACAATAATTTTATATATAAATACAACTTACCTTTGTGATGTGATTAAATAAATCCAATATCCAATATATTTAAAGGTTCAAAAAACAATTTAACACCGCGAGCAACAGCACAACAAATCTGGGTATCGACGAGAACTTTTATGTCGTCTTCGTTGTGCACAGCAGACGACTTGTGTGAGTTGTTTTCCCGCGCTTACTATCAAGTCTTTCTGACTACATCATTACGTATCTGTGGATCTGTCAGTAAAAATTATTAGCCTTATATATCACCTTAAGAAACGTCTATTTTAATTAAGGAATTGACGAAACGGTAAGATTGCCGACTAAATGTTCTTATACTTCTTTTTACAACTCCTCGAGGACGGATGGACATTTTTTATTGGTTACTAACGAACAATAGACACGAGCCATTATCATGACAAGTAATTCCTACTTCATGCAATTTCCGCGGTTAAATATTTTTTTTTCTTTGAATGAATATCACACGAATGCTGTCACACTGATAATTTTGACGTGTTTTTTTTTTAGCGATTCAACGAGTCCGACATCTTAAACTACAAAAAACAAACAAATTTTCTTCTCTTTAGAACTATTAAGAAATACAAACCAATAATTCACAAACATTTAGTATTATTTTTTTTTTTCTATTTCTTTGGTTTAACTGTCTCCTTTTTATTTTTTTGTTGGACGGATACGGAAGAATAAATCACAATTTTTGTTTTGTGTCACAAATCCTTAAAACATTATTTCAATCCTTTTCTGAAAATATTATACACACCGCTCTTGTCATTCATAATTTTAACACTGTTAACGGTTGTGTATCGTGTGGTCTACGTTAGTACTTAAGACTGAATCCAACTCCATGTAAAAGAAAAAACCAACAGCCGACTCGGCGAGCCAGTGAACATATGAATCGCACAAATACTGTACTGTACATTGATTCAATACCAGCGCACGTTCTACTCTTCGGCGATTTCTCTTACACTCCGTACAGCGCACACTGATAGATAAATACACGCGAAACAACTGTCGTGTTTTTTACTAGCAGTAAGTTGTTGCTTCATTGATTGGATTTAATAATAAGCATTCACCTACCAGTAAGTGGATTTCAACAAATGTTATATTTTCTTACAAAAATAATTATTTTTTGTCAGAAATACCTGCTCTACGTGTATACAGAATATAGTAACGGTCCACATGAGACGTAATCCGTACAGCAAATGTTCTCCATATAATGTTGGATATCCCCCAAGAGAGAAGTTCCCGTGTAGACATTAGCATGCATGTAATAGAACCCCTGGCAGTTGGAATTCGATATTTTCCTCATAGCACACTGTATGACGTATGTTCGCCTTCATTAGCCCAGTCAGAGCAGAACACTAGATCGTTAAACGCCAATTCAATTCATTCCATTTTCTAACTATCAATGTAACGTTGATGTCTTTGACTAAGCAACAACTAACTGTTATAAATATAAACATACGACACTAATAGATCAAAGTCATCAGTTTATATAATGTTTATTAGTTCATTAAAATTGCTAGTAATCAGACAGTAGTCATTAAGTAAGTGTTTTGTCACTAAGGTGTTAAAACTATGACTATTGAATGATATACACCAATATTGTCCAGGTTTGTGTATTCAATAGTGATGGGTGTTATAAATAGTCACGCTTTTACACCAGTAGTGACATCTTGTACAGCTAGTTACACACCTTCTAACCCCTTTCTATACAGCTAGTTACACACCTTCTAACCACTTTCTATACATACTACACATTAGTTCAGAAATGAAATGAAATGGGGTTTAACGTCCTACTGTTTGGCTCTGAACTGGGCTAATGAAGACGGGCATACGCCATACAGTGTGCGGAGAGGGGACTTTTGCCCGGACAGCGGCACTACGGCCAACTCTTATATCGAATTTCAACTCTCATGGGATCTTTTACGTGCACGCCATCCGAAAGACTAGACAGCTGTCCTTGTCAGGCCCTCCGTCCTGCATCGGGGGTTTGGATGGCCGAATGGTTAGCACGTGCGTGCTTTATCATAAGTCCTGTCATTGAGTCAACTGTCGTGGTTTCGAATCCCCGGTTGTACGTGACAAGGAGTAGGGACGCCTGTCCAAACTGGTGAGTTTTCTCCGGCTCCTCCGGTTTCCCCCCACTGCTAAAGACCCCTACGCGCAAGCGAATTATTGAAATAAAATTAAACCATATGTTAGTCCTGAAATGACCTATTTTGTGTCGAGTGGACGTTAAACACCATTTCTCCCCCTCCCTCCCGTCCTGCATCACTGACCATTAGTTTAGAATACTGACCACTTATATGATTTAATGACAAAATATGTCATTACTAAAAGGCCTAGCTTCATTAGTCAACGGTTTCAGCTTACTAGTCTACAGATACGAAACTGAACCGTTCTTGGACTGGTATTCCTTTCAGAGATTCTTCACTCCGTCAAATGACCACTAGAGACTGTTATTGTAATACGCGTATTGATATGTTAGCACGTGCGCGCTGTATCATAAGGCCTGTCATTGGGTTAACTGGCGTGGTTTCGAATCCCCGGTTGTACGTGACAAGGAGTAGGGTCGCCTGTCCAACCTCGTGGGGTTTTCTCATGGTCCTCCGGTTTCCTCCCACTGCTAAAGACCCTTACGCGCAAGCGAATTATTGAAATAAAAAATTAAACCATATGTTAGTACCGAAATGACCTAGTTTGTGCCGAGTGGACGTTAAACCCCATTTCTCTCTTTCTCTCTCGCTCTGTGAACTCGATACTGAATCGAATAGTTCGTACCATTTATCCCTCTCTCTATCTTTTGCGTATTGATATAATCCTTCCAACGCGTTTTTTTTCTTGTAGAATGTATAGTCATTCCATCTATCATGGGTGACTCGTGAGCACCAACTGTGCTGTACAGTCCCGGGCTTATAATCATACAAACTTCACTCAAAAGGAGTTTTTATTTTCCATTGTTTTACGACAGAAATAATACGACGGGTCTTGACTCCGGTCGTTCTCCAGAATGGCGATAGACTGTCAGTTGGCGTCATGAGTTAGAACTTCAAAACATACCACAATAAGGGCGATACTCCAGATATAGTCTCGCGAAGCGCTTTAAAAATAATAATGTCCAACAACGAGAACATTCTGCAGTACAAAGGGCTGAAACTCTACTCGAATAGTCAGTACAGGAGAACCATTTATTAAACATACATTATGCAAAAACTAAATATGTCTATTGCATGTCTTTCTTTAGGCCTGAAATGTTATCTAACTTATTAATTAGACATTAATTAACCTATCCAGACCATAATCAACTCTAGATGGCATTGCTAGCCTGTAAATTTTAGTGGATTATGAGCCGATTTACTGCATAACTTCCCTTCACGATTTAACCATTAAATGGATAATCGAGACTGTGCTGTTTATCGTACTTACTTTAGTGAGGATGATCGAGGCTAGGCGGAAATTTCAATCGCTTAGTTCTTGGTTCATAGTGGATCAATTAGAATGAAATTTTCAACAAATTGCCATTACATTATTTTTTTTTTAACTATTATAGTGAGAACTGCCAACTCGTTATCAAATCTCCCATAATGTATCTTTAATTAATGAATATATTAACATCTTGTACGGAACACCTGGGTATTTGTATTGTTATGTAAAGTGTCCCTATATGAAATGAAATGAAATGGGGTTTAACGTCCTACTGTTCTGCTCCTAACCTGGGCTAATGAAGACGGGCATACGCCATACAGTGTGCTATGAGGGAAATTTTGCCCGGACAGCGGCACTACGGCCTACTCTTATATCGAATTCCAACTGTCAAGGAATCTTTTACGTGCACGCCAATGTGTACACGGGACCTCGGTTTTTCGTCCCATCCGAACGACTAGACAGCTTTCCTTGTCAGCCCCTCCGTCCTGCATCACTGACAAGGGAGAACCACGCCGGAAAAACCGGATGAACTTTCTCGGCCAATGCAGGGATCGTCCCTATATGAATACGACATAATAATAATACTATTATTTCTTATTGATAGTGCACACAAACAAAGCATGTGCATTACATATTAAAAAACATACATACAAATAATAGGCAGATCCGCGTATAAGCATAACAATGAAACGGAGTTTAATTTATAATATGTAAATATTGAATAAATATTGTTAGAAAAAACAAATAAAAAAAAACCCAACAAAACAAATGGAGTTTGAATATGCATTATGTAATATTTAGATAAAGAGCTGTCATTTATCGCTATAACATATACAGTTAATTAAAAAAAGTAGATAATTGATGAAAATTTCAGTAAAATTATTTCATTCTGAGCTGAGTTATCGTCGTTGGAAGTACAGTGTAATCTCGATTATCATTGCTAGCGTTGTTACGATAATAAACAAAGTATCCATTTTAAAATCATTAACGGCTAATCATATTTAAATCTGTTGAAAATCAAAACCACCCGAAGTCCTAGACAGTTGATTATGGACTTAGCATGTAAATAAATGTCTAATTAATGATTTATTTTGAAGGCAAAGGAAATATCTGCATTAGCCAGATTTAGCTCTGCACCACACGACGCCACCGCCTAGTTTTATTTCTATTTCAAAGGATTCGTTTATGTGTACGCCAATGTGTACACGGAACCTCATTTTTTTCGTCCCATTCGAATGACTAGACGCTGAATCATGTCCGATTCGCCGTTCTACCTGCTTCCCTGACATTCTCGCGAAATTTCGTGTCCAACAACGGGAGCGAATAGGGGCCCGAATGTTAGCGAGCTAGCACCTTATTCGCTGAGCTACCGTTGCTCCAGCCCCTAATCAACCGGAAAGACAGGAGTTCATTCTGATTAGAATCTTAAAGTAGCTAAGTCTCTAACTCAATATTATCCAAAGTCTTCGACATTGAAAATACGGATTATTTGTCAAATTAAATCAACATTGATGTTGTGATCTTACCGGGAAAAGAGGGGCTTCTGATATTCAATATTTAAGACAAAATAAACATTTTACCATTGGTACATGAATAGTGTACAATAATGCGTTTCAGCACCATTTGTAACAAGAGACTCGAAGAACGAGGCTAGACATATTGTAGAAGTCATGTCAAAAGATGGCGCAATATTTTTATCTGGAGAGAATGAGCAATAAATCCTATCGGTGTAGACTGGAATAACTAGACGCTAGTGATTGCCATTCGATTGTGACTTCTGGCGTATTTTGCCAAACATAACTGATTAGAAATTACAGTAAAAACAGAAACGATTGAATGTAAATCAGTTTATATACATTCAAATTACATTATTATATGCGTCGCGACCCATTTGTGTCAATTTCTAGGTAACAAATATTAGCGATTTAGTCCCTTTAATGTCAGGTTTATTTTCTTTCCCCTCGTTGGTCTCGAAACAATTAAATGTTAAAACCAATTGACGAGCTAGAAAGATTTTTTCTATGTTGAATTACCTGATGTCGATCACGGTGGTATGGAATGATCTACAAATGGTAACGAAATAATCTGAAGGTTAATGGCGTATGTCTACTAACCCACCCCACCCATGTCACGTTCTATACAGTTGAGTCGCAATATTTATATTACGTCTTTCTTGTAAATACTTAATTTTGAGTGACACCTTTATCATTACAGGCCAGGGACTGTAAAGCACACTGGACGCTTACGGCTGGCCCTCGGGACCCTTCACTTGATTTGATATTTTTTCATTTCTTGAAATGTCTGTGTAGTTGGTCCGTACTACACTATTACTATAACATAAAACATTATCACGTTAAAGAGAGAGAGAGAGAGAGAGAGAGAGAGAGAGAGAGAGAGTTAAACGTCTGCTCGACACAAACTAGGTCATTTCGGGACTAA